GATAACATTGTTCAGCTTCCTAAAGAACCCAGCATTATGTAGACAGTGGATACAGTTTGTTTTTCCGGAGCAGCAACTGAGTTTCACAAGTGTGTTTGTTGACGAACGTTTTATAAACAAGGCCCAGTTCGATGCTGGATTTGCACATCGTTTGATACTGAAAGATGGAGCGGTCCCAGCTATAAAAGATCCCGGTCATGATTCAGAACTGCAGACGGTAAGTGAAACGGCATCAAATGTCTGTTTTGTTGCCAGTCGGAGCTCAAGTGCTCGTCACTCTTTAGCTCCGCCCACAGCACGCCTCCAGGAGCTCGGCTTTTTCCGGAGAGAATCGTAAAGCTGTATCTTTCTTTTATAAATATGATAAAACTAAAGACTTTTTGGAGATATGAAGGATGCAGTACTACTCTATAGGTACTCAAGATTAACATGAGATTGGGCGAAACTGTGCGTGTTATGCCCCCTTTAATTATTTTATCATAATTTTTAATTTAACACAATTTTTTTATTGTTATTTTATCTTAATATTATGTTCATTTATTGTAAAATAATGTGCATTTTTAAGTATCCTAAAAATGTAATGAAAATAGGCACTAAATATTTTTATTTTATAATTTTATTTTAAATTATAATATAATAACGTTTATATAACAATACAACAACAACAATAATAATAATCAATTACTATAATAATATTCGCATATTATATCTTGACTTTTTATGGAACTGCATAGTTCAGTTCTTAAAAAAGTCACATGTCATACCTGAAAGCGAGGAAGGTTGTTCATGGATGGAGCGCTAATAATTATATTACTGGGTGGAACCTTCCCTATAACACAAAAACAGTACAACATGTCAGTAAAAAGCACAGAAACTAATTTTATTATTACTGTAATTTTCATGCCTCAATTTGTTTTAATAAATTTAACTCTTTAAGATTAACTAACACTGCTTTTAGTGCCTGCATATTTTGTTTGTTTTGTTAATTTATGTTATGTTATTTTTTTTCTGTAATACAGTAGTTTATGTAACAAAAACACACAGCTATAGATATATATTAGTTAAAGCTGCAGTCCGTAAGTTTTGCCTCTTTGTCGCCATCTCTGTTTGAAAACCTGGAATTGCAGCTGTGTGCGGAATTATCTAGCGTGGGTTGTGAGTCGGCACGGCTCCAGCGCCGATGAATCTAATGTTCTGAAGAGTGTGTGTGGCAGTCTGTCACCGCACCGGTGTGGTTATTTACTGTAACGTTACTTCACAATCACAGATTCTAGCCTACGTCTTGGAATATTACCCAAATAAGAATTTTCACCGTATATTGTCATCTGAACAAGTAACAAGTCTGCCATGTTTGTTCTGACCAACTGAGGAAAAAAGCATTAACACAAATCTCGCTACCAATGGTGATTAAATCTAAAGATCGGTTAGCTCATATCACATCAAACCGTTCAAATTATTATTATTGTTATACTTTATTCTCAAATTGTTAATGTTAACAACATCAGCATTGCTTGAGTATAGTGTGTATTAGCGTGCAGATTTCCATTTCTGCACAGTCTAATCTAATTTTCATACTCTTCGAATTTCATATTAAGAAATTCTTTTAAACCAAAAAGCAAATTATGCTCCCTTCGAACTGGTTTTCTTTCAAATACAAATCTTTGTAATCCCAGGCTATCTGTAATCAGAAGCACATTTATAACTGGAATATAATTTAATTTCATCCACATGTGTTTCATAAACACATAATTCCTTTATGGATTACAATCCGCCATCAAAATGATGCATTTAATTATTCTGGCTGCTGTGAGAAAAGGCTATAAACGATCCGCCACCTGCAGGATCTTCACATGCGATAGCCTAGTAGCCGGGACAACTTCTTTGTTTACAGAAGTGATGTAATGACGCAGCAGCATGCTCGAATTTCCCGCGAAAACCTACCCGTGCCACTCAAATGAGAAAACATTCTTATAAGATAATATAAATTTTTGGTCATACCGCCCAGCACTAATTAAAACCGTATTAGATTACCGAGAACAACTCGTGATAAATAAATACTGTTCAGCATAAAGCACAGTTTTAAGTAACAGTCTCACGTGCGCACAGCACGCAGAGTAGTTTTGGAGAAGCTGGGAGGTTTTAAAAGAGTGCCAAGGGAATTATACAAATGAATAGATTAATTAATTAATTATATGAATGTACCTCTGAAGGTTCTGACTGTCTTCAGAAACGATTCGATGGCATTTTGTTTCCATCTTTGCTCCATGTAATACCTAATGGAAGTGTTCTTAATCGCAATACTGCTTTGTCCATGGAGATAACGGGAAACAGCTGTAATTCTGCTTTTCCATAAGCGCCACCTGCTGTCAGCGAGTGGATTTACAGAGACTTATATTTATATTCAGTCTGTGTGCAGTTTCTGTCTGGCCAAAAACGGACTGAATCTGCATGCCCTGCTGTTAATTTTGACCGGTTGATGAAAAACAAGCTTATGTGGATTCTACACATTTAAACAATTCAGATAAGTTATCTAGAATTATTTATGGAGCAGATAAAATACATATAATAATTTATTAATCAATTATCATTTTGACATATCTTTTCTTTATTTAAAGGCTGAAATGTGAGGTTTACCTTTTTATTAAACTTTTTCAAAGCTTTAATTGAACATTTACATTAGATATTTCAACATGTTATTGTCAGTCAAGTTGTTATTAACAATCATTGGTAATGTTATTGTTTTAGTGATTATGCAAACAAAAAGTCATTTTATTTGTTGTTTGTTGATTTTTAAATATAAAACTTGAAGTGATTTATGTGTCGGTACTTTTTGAACATCTCCAGCACATGTTAACAATACCGTGATAATACCGATAACCGTGATGATTTTGGTCAGTATAATCGTGATAAGAAATTTTCATACCGTTACATCCCTACATTATTATAAGCTACCCGTCGTGAATCGGGCTAAAGTAAGGTGATAGTTTTGAACACTGGCTGGTTATGTACTTGCTCAAATATTGATTTCGGATCATTTTACGTTACATCAAGTTACGGACTGCAGCTTTAAACTAGGTGATATTTATCTGTGCAGCTGACAGGTTCTTGAAGGCTGCCAGAATTCACTCTGACGTCATGCACATTTAAAGTGACGTCATGCACATTTAAAGTGACGTAACCGCAAACGCACCTGACGCGATGACGCCCTGCGCTATTCCAAACGCCATGTGTCCCGCTCCGATGAACCCGATCTTCAGCTGAGACACATCCTGAACTCAAAGCAAACATTACTTCACGGTAATAAAGATGCTATGTGATGCTGCTGACATCTGTTCAGCAAACAGCATACAGTCACAGAGTTAACAGCAGCTACTCACAGACTGAAGCGCTGGAGAGTGGCTGGTTTGGACTGAACCCTCTGATACATTCATTGCTTATTTACTACAGCTTCAGCAGATCAGCGTACTGTCACGTGGAGAACGTGTTCTTCTTTACTTGCATATGCGAAACTACAAGCAGATACACTGACACCTGCTGGACTGGATCCATGGATTCCTAAACATAAATCAGTAGCTACAAAAAACCTTTGGACACACTTGACTTAATTTATATTTCTCATGGAATAAAACTGTTAAAGCTATAGCTGAACTAAGCTCAAATTAGTTTTCTAGACACAAGGTCCCAATATATATATATATATATATTTTTTTTTACAGTGGTAAAATGTTAAAATAATGTTAACTTTGTGATGTAACTAATGTAATGTTGATTTTGTTCCAATATATTCTCACTACAATCATTCCCAGACTTACATTTGTGTAACTGCAGTCTTATGAAGATTTTACCATTAATTCTAAAATGTAGAAAATATTAATGAAAAGAAAAAGTAGGTGTGTCCAACTATTGACTGGTAATGCACATGGGGGAATCAATTAAATGGCTCAACCACATTGAGTAAAATGTGTCAAATTCTGTCAGTGAAGATACTGAAATAGCGCCACCTGCTGGACTGAACCAATGGATTTTACACAGTACACTGGCTAAAAATTGTTGAAATTTAATTAATTTAAAAATAGATACATTAAATACATATTTTCTTATAGTAGCCCAATGTTTAAAATGTAAAGCTAAGCTTCTCACCTCAAAGTCCAAAGTTGTCTAAAAAAAATTACAATGATTTAAAAAAAAATTATTATAGAGCGTATAGACATATAACATGATTTGGAAACCCCATAATATTACCAAAGTTCTGCAAAAAGAAGAGGACATTAACATTATTATTTAAAAAAAATAAAATAAAAATATTTTTTGAATATACAGTATAGTATCATTAGGAAATAAACCCAGAAAATAACAGTGGCAGACCTGTAAAAGAGGAAACTGTACAGCACTGGTCATGGTATATATCCCACATAAAATATAAGTTTTATTAAAACCTGAAATAAACAATAAAAGAGAGCTAAATAATGCTATGATTTTGACCTTTACAAAATATTTAAACATTTTATTTAAAAAAATGTACTAAAAATGTATTTAGTTCTATTCTATTTTAATTCTACTTTATCTATATTTATCTTCTTTTTGTGTGTGTGTGTATATGTGTGTGTGTGTGTGTGCGTGTGTGTGTATAATATATGTATGTATGTGTGTGACTAAATAAATAAATAAATAAATTTAGAAAAAAATCTAAAAATTATTAAATAAAAAAAAAACTCTTGTTGTTGAAAGCGTTCAATCAGTCAGGCTTTTGTTGTTCAAACTCCCCACAGCCAATCAGATGAAAAGATCTTCATTTACGGACGGAGTCATAATTGGCTGCAAACCAATCACAAGTCTCCTGGACGGCTGGAAAAAAAGAAAAACATCTATTAAGATTCTTCTTTTTACTAATATTGGAAAAACATAAATGCTGAATCTCTTGTGCTGATCACCTTGTTTGAACGGCGTGAACTTGAAGTCTGGCAGGTATTTGCGTAGTTTGGCATTATTAGCGGTTTTCTTGATCTGACCGTCTGATTTGCTAGTGTCATACTGAGAGAGCTTAGTTAAGGTTCATCTGTAAGTCTGTGTGAACGAATGCTTTGAGGTTTAGTTAATTCGTGGACTACTTTTATATTGCTTTTTGAAGCTTAAGAACAATCTGGAAATTCTACAGAATATCTCATCTTGTGTTGCACAGAAGGAAGACTCGTATCAACTGTAAAAATATCTGCAGACACTGTTTGTGTGTGAAAGGATACAATAACTTCCCCTTCGAACCCGAATGCTTCGGCCACAGCGTCCACAGCGTCCTTTACAGTCAACTCATCCTCCTCCCCAACTAGACAAAGAAACAAAGAAAAAGAGAAACATGATCTTGATATCTGATCAACCAATGAGCTCTGATGAAACAGACCCAACACGTGTGGTATCAAACACAGCTGGAGTACCTGACAGAATGATGGGCTCCACCTCGTCGTACTCTCTCAGAACCCACAGAAACAGACGAGCCAGATCCAGAGAATAGATGAACTGCCGCAGAGCGCGACCCGAACCCCAGACCTGCAGAGGTTTACCTTCCTCTACAACACAAACACACAACATTTACCCTGTGAACATGTGAGATGCTCTGAATGTGATTGTGAGCTAAACGTGTCTCACTCTTCGCCAGATACGTCTTGTGGATCAACCCCGGCATCACGTGACCGTCCTCAATGTTGTAGTTGTCATGGGGTCCAAACATGTTGGTGGGGATGACGGCTGTGTATTTCAAACCATACTGCTGAAATAATGCCCTAATCGACAAACACACACACTTTATGAACAAACCACATGAAATAACATGACATACTGAAACCCTATCGTAAACCAAATAAATTGTATTCTGAGTCTCACACCAAGAACTAAATTTATTAGAATTATAGGCAATTCAAGCCTGTCTTTAGGACCATTAAGTTTTCTACTCCAGTTCGTTGAAACATAATCATTTAAACTGTGGCTGTCATAACATTTTCATCCCCAAAAACAAAAAGTTATGGTATGATTCTTGGGCTGTACACTTTAAATTAAAATAATACGTTAACATAGTGGTTTGCAATATCAAGCAGCATAACGTACATTTTTTCCTTGTACAGCTAAAATAACTAAAAGCGGACAATACCTGAAGCTTTGCATATTCCAGTTAAAAATGGTCACGCCTTTTGCTCTTACGTTAAAGATAAGGTTGATACCGTGCGGAATGTTGTGATAACGGCCAGATGTTCAACAACAAACCAATTATTCTACCACTTTTGTACATTCACAGAAACTTGTATGCACTGTGGGAAAAATCTAAATGCAAACAATGGTGGGAAACGTGTTCGATCATTTGAGTAATGAATATATTGTTTTAACCACTTTAAACTGCTGAGGACAAACTGGATGGCACATTCATGTAAGCACAACTGATTTGCAAGAGTGAGACAAACCTGTTATTTAAGCAGGTTGTGTGAATGTATAATGTGAAACCTAGAAACCTGAATACCCAGTAACACGGTCTGGCAACCCCAGGCCAAATGTCAAGCTACACCCATGCAGACAAAACCCAAATGGTTCTAAAAGTAACATATTTTTCTCTAAGCAAATTTTCGTCATAGAAATGCAATCTGGACATGTTTTCATGAAATAGAGCCAAGAACAGCTCATAACCAGTAAACTTTGACACCAAGAGAGCAGAACTGACCTGTTCTGTATGTCAATCATGCGTTTGGCGTAGGCATAACCGTAATTAGACTCATGGGGGGCACCGTTGTGCATCTGACACACAGAAAGAATTTTATACAATTCATGCAAACAGGCTCATGAAACCAATCAGACATCCAATAACTTCAATCTCTCATATCATGCATTTTAAATCACTATATCCATGAAGTCCAATTTTTGATGACCAGTGTCTCTGTTGTTCAGGAATGATTGTATCCAGGGCTTGACATTAACTACTTTGCTCACCAGCCACTGTGACTAGTGGTTTTCCAAAGTTATTAGCCACTTAGCATTTTCACTGCCCACAATCTTGTTGTTGGGAAATTACGTTTTATATTATTAAAGTTGACTATGGTGTGCTAAAATTAAAAATACTGCTGTATGTTCTACAGTCAGCACAGTACATGATTCTCTTTTTTGATATACCAGCCATTCTCACTTTTTTTAAGAGCTGCACAAATAAAGTTAATACCGTATAAGCAGGGTAGGGCAACACCTATGAGAGGGGTGTCCAATCCTGCTCCTGGAGGAACACTGTCCTGCAGAGTTCAGCTCCAACCTGTACCAGCTAATCAAGGTCTTACTAGGCATACTCAAAATGTCTAGGCAGGTCTATTGAAGCAAGTTGGAGCTAAACTCTGCAGGACAGTGACCCTTCAGGACCGAGTTCGGACACCCCAACAGTTCTATTAAACCGTAAAATTATATGATTTACAATTCAGATACAGGTTTTCACACAATAAAATGCTTTATAAAATAATAAACGTCCCATTTCAGCCTTTAAACCATTTTTTAATAAAAGGGTTCAGTAAAAAGTATAAATTATTAGTATATATTAATAAGTATATATATATATATTAAAAATATACGTGTATCTTACTCCCTTAATTGTTTAGATATTGAGTAAGCATATTAGCTATCCACTGGTTCATATTTAAAACTGCATGTTTGCTGTGTAGAAATATGGGTCGATTTTCGCAGTGGTCTGAGCAAAAACAGCAGTCGGGCTTATTGAAAATGCACATTTATTTTCTGCCAGTAGGTGGCACTTTTGGAACAGCAGAAATAATGCAGTTTCGGAGGGAAGACATTTCTTGTACCGTTTAAGGCATTTAAGACTTTTTAATGGGCTTAAATTTGATACAACTAAATTTAAGACTTTTTAAGGACCCGTGGAAACCCCAACAAAGTGGCTAGTGGGAGTGACTGTTATATACCCCTACTATTCACCCGCATTTGGCGGGTTCGGCGGGTGTTAATGTCAAGCTGATTGTATCTATCCTACTGCCTCATAATCTCACTATAACTGGACAGGACAAAACAAGTTTGATATGAGCCTTTTAAAGGAACATCAAGCACATATACAAAACTGCCAGTGTGTGAGCGCTTTACCACGGTCTCATCTAGAGCGTAGGTGGTTTTATCAGGAAAAACACACGTAGACAGACAGGAAACGACCTTCACCACCCCGAACTCCTGAGACATATGCAGCACGTTGTCATTGATGTGCATATTATTCCTCTGAAAACGACAAACAAACACAGCTAATGTAAAGTTTAATCATTCAACAGTGATATTTCCAACCTTATGATACTTATGTTAATAATTACCCAGAAGTCCAGGTTCTGTCTCATGTTTTTATAGAGTCCGCCCACCATGGCGGCCAAATGAATGACGTGCGTTGGACGATGTTTCTGAAAGACTGCTCTCGTCTCTTCAGCGCTCCTAAAGCAGCACGTTTACATATATTTATCACGCATGTGACACAAATGGAAACTATATTATATAGATATATATATATACACTGAATAAAATTATAAACGCAACACTTGTTTTTGCCCACATTTTTCATGAGCTGAACTCAAAGATCTAAGACTTTTTCTATGTACACAAAAGGCATATTTCTCTCAAATATTGTTCACAAATCTGTCTAAATCTGTGTTAGTGAGCACTTCTCCTTTGAAGTGTTGCGTTTATCATTTTGTTCAGTGTATATATATATTTATACCCAGGTGAAAAAAAGTGCACTTCCATAATATACTTAAAGTGCTCTATTTTCGCGCACTAATTTTGTACTTAATATACTAAAAGTGATTATTTTGTACTTCTTAAGAAAAACTTAAGATCAACTAAGTGTACTCAACTGTGCTATTTTGGGACACCATGAATATGAACTAAAAATGCACATTTAACATACTCTTTGTATTTAAAAAAATGTATTTAGTCGCCACTTTTAGTACACTTGAGTGTACTAGTGTATGAAAGATAGTTCAAGTGTACTACAAGTGGTAAATAAATATATTTTTTAAATACAGAGATAGTATGTTATAAGCGCATTTTAGTTCATATTCATGGTGTCTCAAAATAGCACAATTGAGTACACTCAGATGATCTTAAGTTTTTCTTAAGAAGTACTAAAGAATCATTTTTAGTATATTAAGTACAAAATTAGTGCGCGAAAATAGAGCACTTTAAGTACATTATGGAAGTGTACTTTTTTTTTAGATGATCTTAAGTTTTTCTTAAGAAGTACTAAAGAATCATTTTTAGTATATTAAGTACAAAATTAGTGCGCGAAAATAGAGCACTTTAAGTATAGTAAGTAAAGTGCACTTTTTTTCACCTGGGTAAGTTCCATTTAACTGGAATGCTTTTAAATGCTAGTGAAGCAATATAATAGAAGCATGATGAAAAACGTGAAAAACGTTAATCCTGAGAAACACAAAATTGTACGGCGAATTGCATGAGGTTTCTAAAACATGCACTTATTGAATACAAAGTACATGTTATATATGCAATGATGTGATAGTTTAATGATTGATTCTTACACGAGATTGGCATCTTTGGATGACAGAAATATCCATTCTTCTCCTTCTCTCCCTCCGCCCTCCTCTTTCACCACCCGCTCTATCGCTCGCCCCACCAGCCCACTGCCGCCTGTCACCAACACACGCATCGGCCCGACTGACCCGTTCATCTGACAGACAGAGAGAGAGATGGGGTTTGATGAACACTTCAGGGGTCAACAACATACATGTAAAAACAAGAACTGTAGTAAATAATCAAGTATTTATCTGTCTATTGTGATTTTTTCTAATTGCACAGCAATATTTTTGAAAGGCTTTGTATATGTGATCTGAGAACCAGCTACCAGTACCAGCTCTTCTTTCTCTTCCTCCCTACATCTCACAATGAACTACATACAAGTGAAACTGGTAACAACCAGTTTAACCACGGACACGTCCTGTCAACATAGGAACACTTCACTTATGAGGTGCCAACTTGTGCATTACGACCAAAAAACACAACAAATATGCAGACAAACACATACTGGATTCATACACTGTCATCTTCATCGGTCAAAGCATGAGAAAAGTCAGACAAGGCCATCATGCATGAACAAAATCATAGTGCAGACTTACAGTAACACTCAATGAATGAACTTTATGAACTATTTTTGAGCTCAAATTAAGATTAAAAGATGGTTTTAAACAGTGTTTGAATCGAGAAAATGGTCACATCAGATCTTGTATTAGTTCGGTTAAAATGTTTAAGAAACTGACAAACCCTTTACCTCCTCTAAGTGCAGTCAGGTGTTTCCTTGTTTTCGCTCTCGAGTTCTGTAAAAAAGGGAAAAACAGCAGTACTAAATCGAGGCCCTCCGCTTACTGCCTTGTGAGAAAGGCATATGAGAAATGCTGACGTCAAGATTAAATTTGAATATACGGAACAACGCAAGACGTCTTCCATAACATTTTATAGGTTGTCATAAGAAGGGGTTGGAAAGCACTAGATGCAGGGCTGTATTTACGCGTATAGGCATTCTAGGCACGTGCCTATGCTTGCTCGTCCAGGGGGGGCCCAAACACAATAAAGAGATATATAATATTTTTATTATACTATGCACTCTAAAAAATGCTGGGTTAAATATAACCCAGCGCTGGGTAAAAAAGGGACAAACCCAGCTATTGGGTTGTTTTGACCCAGCGGTTGGGTTGTTTTGCTTGGGTGGTAGCCTATATTAGGCCTATTATATTAATAGGGAAGGGGGGCCCAAAAATGTGTTTTGCCTATGTCACGAAAAGAGGCAAATCCGGCCCTGAGATGCAAAATGCTCAACTCGTATCTTGCAAGCACTCGAGAGAGAGATGCATCCATCCTCTGGTAACATTTTTATCAGTTAACTGTGTTTACACAAGAATTTGTGGTTTCAGTTCAGCTTAGCATAGATGGTTTTGCAATTTTAGGTCTTCTAAGCAGAAAAAATGAAAGTTCTTTACTGGCAAGTTTAGTTGATGATTAAAGTTTATGATCCAGCCTGTTTTTATTTTATATTTTATTTTAAACGTTTTATAACAACATATAGAACAAAATATATAATCAGTATAATACAAAAAAAATTTGGATTAATTAAATTCAAGTTTATTTGTATAGCGCTTTTCGCGATGCAAATCGTTGCAAAGCAGCTTTACAGAAAATGTAAGATTCTACATTATATTTAGTAATAGCTCATCAGTGGTGACTATCTCAAGTTGATGTCCATTATAGCAAAATTTGGTAGTTTTGTATGTTGTCTGAGGGTTGCATCATCTGAGATCCTCTGAGGGGTTGGCATCATCTCTTATCAGGTGTTCAGTCATCTCAGGTCTTTGTAAGGGCTGGATCTAGACTGAAGCTTGTGTAATTCCTAGTTACCACGGGATGCTAATCAGAAACAGAGAAGGTAATAGAGAAAAATTAGAGTAGCTGCTGTTCCAACTAAGCAAAAAATGATGTGTTCAACCCAAGCAAAATAATGAAAATGTGCATTTGATCAGATGTAACTGAAGTACAAGATTATGAGATGCATTATGTGAATGCTTGGCTAAAAAGATGTGTCTTTAATCTAGATTTAAACAGAGAGAGTGTGTCTGAACCCCGAACGTTATCAGGAAGGCTATTCCAGAGTTTGGGAGCCAAATGCGAAAAAGCTCTACCTCCTTTAGTGGACTTTGCTATCCTAGGAACTACCAAGACTCCCATTTAGGGCCTTAAAAGTAAGTAGTAATATTTTGTAACTGATACGTTACAAAATGTAACTGATACAGATTATTGAAATATTGCAGAAAGAAGTAGATTACACATGCTTGAGGAAATCAAGGAAGGGTTGCCATACAGCTTGGTATCAACAACGTAGTTTGGGCTCAAATAAAAGTATACCTTCCAATCGTATAACATTGAACAGCTCAAACAACCAGGTTTTGAAGAAAGGAGCATCTGAAAATTTCCCATTTAAGAGTATTATCTTTTTTGCAAGGGCCATACCCAGCAACAATAATTGCTGTTGAGAGCTTGAGAAAGTGTTCAGTACCTCAGAAATCCCCAAAATCGCTAGAACGGGATCAGGCTTTGCAACCTTTTGAAAAACTGTCAAAAATGCCACTCCAAAATCAAACAGACTAGGACAAAACCAGAACAGATGTCGCTCTGTCACTTTACGTCTTTCACATATTGGAGAAAATATAGCATTGTATATGTTTTATTTAGTATAAAACATATACAATGCTATATAACTTTGGAATAATACAATCTATGCATCTTAAACTGGATCAGCCTATGTCTGGCATTATTGAACCATATTGGATCCAGGGTGCGAACTACGGGGGAGCTAGGAGGAGCTCGGCTCCCCTTAATAAGACATGGGCTCCCGTGAAAACGTGATTTGTGAAATTTTGGGGGGTCTCAAAAAATATTGACAATGTGTTATTTTGACGTGCAATTTCAATTTTGTGTAATGTGATCATCGTGGATTATTATGTGTAAAATTGCAAAAATATCATTCATTCATTCATGCATGACGGCGATTTAAACCTAATTAACTTCAATAAAGATAACTATACATGCTATTCTTGTCATGAGCATCAAGGTGTGGGGGCGCTGCGGTGCAAATTCCACTCATGTTTAGTACATGTTAACTCAAAGATTCGTAGAAAAAATATAAACGTTGGACTCTGTGGTCGATTCTGTGTTAAGGTAAGGCATGTTATTCGCAATTATGTGTTGTGGCTGGGTTGTTATAGGTCTGTGTGACTCTCGATGTCTTAGGTCTAACTGAACGGAGAAATTATGGTATTCTTCTGTAGCCTGACGACGAGTAACTTAAACCATTGTTCATGTGAACTCAAAGACAGCCTGATGCTTTGTTTATAGACTATTTGTGGGTGGCTGTTTGTTGTTTCACCTATCAATTCGTGTCGATAAAGTATAATAGGGTAAATCCTGTATAGTGATTTATCGTAACTGGATCCAAAGTCCACGGTATAGTTCGAACACTGATTGGATCCTACTAAGACGTTCATTCCATGTTTCATCAGACGGGTCTACACCAAGATCCTTGGCCCAAGCTTCTTTAAAGTGGCTTGTGTTCACAATCATCAGGAAGGCATTAACAAATCAAATGTCTAGAGGTTGGATTTGACATAACGCATTCATCAAATTGATTCATCTTTGGCTTACTAACTAATTGTGGAATGATTTTAAAAATTCAGTTTAAACACATGCTTAGGATTCTTTGTAATCTCTAGGCCAAGATAAGTGAAGTGATCCTTAACTATTTTGAAAGGCAAAAAACTAAACTTATTAGGATTTATATGCTTAGAAAGTGACATAAATTCACTTTTTGACCCATTAATGGTATAAACGGCTATCTTGCCAAATGCGTTAACATAGATAAGCAAATGAGGGACTGATTTGAGTGCATCAAGTCAAGTCACCATTATTTATATAGCACGTTTTACAATGCAGATTGTGTCAAAGCAGCTTTACAGTATTAAACAGGCAAATAGTGTATCGAAATAGTGTGACGTTCTCCTCTGGCCAGACGAAACCAGCAGTTTAATTCTAGGTTGCAACAAAGTCAGATTGTGCAGAGGACTCAGCTGGTTCCTGTGGTCTTGTCCTGATCGCCATCTTGGTGACAAGGTCTTCACTGGGGATCTGTCCCTGGGGCTCATCTAGTTGTCCTGGTCTCTGCTGACATTCAGGGCTGTAGAGGTCCTCTCTAGGTGCTGATCCACCATATTCGCATAAATGCCATTCTTCTTATGTTGTAACAAGTACATCGGGTGTTATGGGAAGTGTTCCCAGTTCCGGTTGACCTAATTAATGCAGCCTAACAATCCTTTAACGGTTTTGAATTATAGAAATGTGTTAGTGTGTTACGTGTAAGCCAGGTTAAAGTGATGGGTTTTTAATCTAGATTTAAACTGACAGAGTGTGTCTGCCTCCTGAACAGTGGCTATGTTTACATGCACATTTTTTGGTTCAATCGGACTGAATTCATTCCGATTGATGAATCTGAATGTAGTGTTTACATGAACGCTAAATAAAGTGATCGGGTTGATGTG